GGTGTTTTAATCAAAACCCTGGGAAATAGTGGTCGAATGTTGGAATGGCATACCTCGTTGAATTTGGTACAAAATTTCCAACAAAGTGTCATTTACAGAAAAAAACAACATCATTTGAACAAATTTTTGGAAAATATGATGACCCTCTCCTTTATAACAAGGCCAAAATCCGAAGAAAATCACCTCGATTCTTGGTATTTTAATCAAAACCCTGGGAAATAGTTGTCCAATGCTGGAATGGCATACCTCGTTGAATTCGTTACAAAATTTTCAACAAAGTGTCATTTACAGAAAAAAATTTAATTTGAAAAATTTTTGAAAAAAATGACGACCCCCACCCTTATGACAACGCCAAAATCCGAAGAAAATCACCTCGATTTTCGGTATTTTAATCAAAACCCTGGGAAATAGTGGTCGAATGTTTGAATAGCATACCTTGTTGAATTCGTTACAAAATTTCCAAATAAAGTGTCCTTTACAGAAAAAAATTTCATTTGAACAAATTTTTGGAAAAAATTTTGACAACGCCAAAATCCGATCAAATCACCTTTATCAAAACCTTGGAAATAGTGGTCGAATTTGAATGGCATAACTCGTTGAATTCACCTACGAATTTCCAACAAAGTGTCATTTACAGAAAAAAACATTGACAAAATTTTGAAAAAATAACCCCACCTTATAACAAGCCAAATAACAAACCCTGGGAAATAGTGGTCGAATGTTGCAAAAAAATTGGCATTTTTTAAAAAACATACCTCGTTGAATTCCTTACAAAATTTCCAACAAAGTGTCATTTACAGAAAAAAATATTATTTGAAAAAATTTTTGAAAAAAATGATGACCCCATCCTTAATGACAAGGCCAAAATCAGAAGAAAATCTCCTCGATTTTCGGTATTTTAATCAAAACCCTGGGAAATAGTGGTCGAGTGTTGGAATGGCATACCTCGTTGAATTCGTTACAAATTTTCCAACAAAGTGGAATTTACAGAAAAAAATATCTTTTGAACAAATTTTTGAAAAAAAATGATGACCCACCTTATGACAACGCCAAAATCCGAAAAAAATCACCTCGATTTCCGGTATTTTAATCAAAACCCTGGGAAATAGTGGTCGAATGTTGGAATGGCATACCTCGTTGAATTCCTTACAAAATTTCCAACAAAGTGTCATTTACAGAAAAAAAAAAACAGTTGAAAAAATTTTTTGAAAAAAATGAAGACCCCAACCTTGATAACAACGCCAAAATTAAAAAATTTAAATTAAAAAATTTAAAAAAAAAAAAATTTTTTTTTTTAATCAAAACCCTGGGAAATTGTGGACGAATGTTGCAATAACATACCTCGTTGAATTTGTTACAAAATTTCCAACAAAGTGTCATTTACAGAAAAAACAACATCATTTGAACAAATTTTTGAAAAAAAAGATGACCCTCTCCTTTATAACAAGGCCAAAATCCGAAGAAAAATCACCTCGATTCTTGGTATTTTAATCAAAACCCTGGGAAATAGTGGTCGAATGTTTGAATAGCATACCTCGTTGAAGTCGTTACAAAATTTTCAACAAAGTGTCATTTACAGAAAAAAATATCAGTTGAAAAAATTTTTGGAAAAAAATGATGACCCCCACCTTAATGACAAGGCAAAATTCCGAAGAAAATCATTTTTTTTAAATGTTTTTTTATTAAATTTTTTTTTTTGTGAAAAAAAATTCTCCCCCCTTACCAAAACCCCAAAACCAAAAAACCATCGATTTTCGGTATTTTAATCAAAACCCTGGGAAATAGTGGTCCAATGTTGGAATGGCATACCTCTTTGAATTCCTTACAAAATTTCCAACAAAGTGTCATTTACAGAAAAAAAAAGTGGAAAAAATTTTTGAAAAAAATGTTGAATCTCTCCTTTATGACAACGTCAAAATCCAAAGAAAATCACTTCGATTTTCGGTATTTTAATCAAAACCCTGGTAAATAGTGGTCGAATGTTGGAATGGCATACCTCGTTGAATTCGTTACAAATTTTCCAACAAAGTGCCTGTTCAGTCATTGAGATTTTTCAACGACTATCCTTTAAACTCGAAATAATAACGCCGATATAATTAGTTAAACGTTATAATAAGAATTTTTATTGTTGCGGATAATATTGGAGGATACAGAAAATATATGCCAATATATTGAGCGCGCGCAATGAACGTACATGGGAGAGTGATCCCGCTTTAGATAATTAGCGCAGATGAAGCTCTCTATCTGACGATGCTGCCGATAAGCGCTGAAGTCGAGCGGCCGAGAGAGAGAGAGTCGGCTTGCGACCAACGAAGGCGAGAACATAAGCAATTAGTATGTAATACGAAAGCTTTGTTTGAGTTTTATCTATAAATTAGGTGGCGGCTGCTGCTTGTCCCGACATTCTCCCCCCAGTTGGGCCTGGCTTCCAACTTCGTCCTTAAGGGGCAAAAGGCACAGCTTAGATACTGCGCGCTTGGTGGTTCCAGATGAAGTACTGATCACCGCCACTCGAGCCACTCCGTCCCTACCAGGTACCAGTTCCATGATTCTCGCGAGCGGCCACTTCATCGGGGGTAGGTTCTCGTCCTTGACCAGCACCACATCGTTGACTGCCAAAGCAGGGCCGGAGGTACGCCATTTGGAGCGTTGCTGAAGGAGGCTTAAGTATTCCTCTTTCCATCGGGACCAGAAAGACTGCTGCAGAAAGGACACACGTTGCCAACTGTCCAGACGATTGAAGTTTAGCTTTGTAACATCAGGTTCGATTAAACTAGATGGCGGACCTCCAGTTAAAAAATGTGCTGGCGTTAGAACATCGAGGTCTGCAGGATCTTCTGAAAGAGGCAATAATGGTCGTGAATTTATGACAGCACCAATGTGGCAAAGCAGAGTTCGCAGCTCCTCAAATCCAAGAATTGAGGACCCCACAGCCCGGTAAAAATGATGCTTGGCAGTTTTGACTGCCGCTTCCCAGAGTCCGCCGAAATGCGGAGATCGAGGAGGAATAAAATGCCATTCGATGGACTCAATCGCACAAAACTCCAAAAGTGTCCGCTGATGCTCGTCGCTGATAAAGAGCCGCCGCAGCTCACTTAGCTCGTTTCTGGCTCCAACAAAATTTGTAGCGTTGTCCGACCAAATGTGTTGTGGCTTTCGGCGGGTGCATATAAACCGTTTTAGTGCCTGTAAGAACGCAGTAGTGGATAAATCATTTACGAGCACCAAGTGGACGGCCTTTGTAGCAAAACAAATGAAGACGCTCACGAAGCATTTTACCGGAGCCTTATTAGGAACTTCTGGCTTGTAATGGAATGGCCCACAAAAATCCACGCCAGTGACTCCAAAGACTTGGCAACCGTTGAGTCTTTGTTCCGGGAGATCAGTCATAATGTGCTCCAGCAGGCGAGGCTTGGACCGGAAGCATCGGATGCATTTGTGCAACGCCTTTGTCACCGTTTTCCTCCCCCCAATTGGCCAATATTGGGATCGAATCATAGCCAAAAGAGCACGAGGTCCCGTGTGTAAATTTCGGTCATGGAAATCAACAATTATAGCAAGAGTGGCTTCAAGGGAGTATAATTGGATGACGACTATCAAAATCCAACGGCGAATTCTTCAGGCGACCATCTACACGCAGTAGACCGATTCTGAAGCGACCTTATATCATCCCAAAAATGAACCCGCTGTACCAACCGCAATAAAAGTTGAGTTCCAGACTTGATATCTCCTGCGGTGATTCCCTTGTGGCGTATTCGATGACAAAACTTGTGCACATAAGCAAATACCCGCTGCAGAGATGAGAAGGAATTAGCGTACTTGGAGGCAGCTATTATGTCCACATACGGCGACTGAATGAGCAAAACCTTTGCGCGCAGTTCCAGGGTCGGCCTCTCAGCTGGGACCGCAACTGGCCACTCATCTTGAGGACCAAGAAGAAACGGAGGACCATGTGCCCACAGCTCATCAACGATCAACTCATTAGGAAGAGCACCACGGGACAGGATGTCCGCCGGATTCAAGGACGTGGAAACATAGCGCCACTCCAGCGTTCTGGTTAACTCCTGGATGGTCGCAACTCGATTGGCAACGAAAACATTAAACCGGGCAGGACAGCGCCACTGCAGAATCGCACCAACAATAATGCTTTCCAGCGTACATCTTCAGATTAGCTACTTCTGACATAAGCCGCGCCAGCAATTCTTCTCCTGATAGTTCCAGTTTCGGCACCGTAACAGTCTTTAGCGGCGCCACTCGAGACTTCGAGCAAAGCAGGTGACTTCCCGCTCCTGTACCCAACATAAATACAGGCACCATAAGCCTCGATGCTAGCGTCACAAAATCCATGAATCTCCAAATCGGTCGGTGATGATAGTGACCATCTGGGAAAATCGGCCCTCTGAGCCAAAGCGAAGCTGCAGCAAATTTTTTCCCAATCAGAGTGAAGAGCCTGAGGAAGACTCTCATCCCAAGACAACTTCTCACGGCACAGCTTCTGAAGAAAGATCTTTGACCTTGTGATGACCGGCCCGACAAGTCCTAAAGGATCATACAACCGGGCGATTGAGGAAAGGACGATGCGCCTAGTTGGATTTAAGGTTGACTGAAGGCCCTCAAATGAAAATAGCAAGCGATCAGTAGCAGGATCCCAAGCGAGGCCCAGAGTTTTCGTAAAGTTGCTGCCGTCATCAAATCTCAGAAACGACTCCCGATCCTCTTCCGGCACATCAGACAACACCGCAGCTACGTTGGAGCACCACTTTCTCAAGCGAAATTGACCCTTGGCAAGGATCCCTGATGTTTGCTGCATGATGTTGACAGCTTCAGCCACAGAAGCACCTCCAGAAATTAGATCGTCCACGTAAAAGTCGCGTCGCAGAATCTCGGCCCCCTTTGGAAACATCGACTTCTAATCCTCGGCCAATTGATGCAATTGATGCTCGCACTGACAAAAATGACGCTGGTTTTGTTCCATAAGTTAAAGTGTCAAGTTTAAAAACCTACAACTCGTCCTGGGTGGAATCCCGCCAAAGGATACACTGCAAATGGCTGTCCTCAGGGAAAACTCTGACACATCGGTACATTTTGCAGATATCTCCTGTAATGGCCACCCGATGGTAACGGAACCTTAACAGGATGTGAAGCAACTTTGGCTGTATAACTGGGCCGGACATCAACACGTCATTCAATGAATACCCAGAAGTGGTAGCAGCAGATCCATCAAAAACAACCCTGAGCTTGGTTGTTGAACTGTCCTCTTTCAAAACACAGTGGTGAGGTAGGAAGTACTGAGGAGTGAGGCTCGCATTAGCAGGAACTGCAGACATATGGCCCAACTCCAAATACTCTTTTATAAACGCAGCATACTGATTCTTCAATGGAGGGTGACGACTGAGCTTCCTTTCTAGAGAGAGAAATCGACGCACGGCTTGGGGATACGATTCTCCCAGCAAATCAGAACTGCATTTCAACGGCAGCCTCACAGCATAAGCGCCTGACTTGAACCGAGTAGAGTGTTGCACAAAATGCGCTTCGCAATCCAGCTCTTCCTTTGTCCACTTTACTATTGGTTCGGAGCAGTCCTCTATTTCCCAGAACTGGCGGAGCAGACAATCTAAACGTTCATCCGGCAGGCTTGGGCTCTTCGTGACATCCTTGCAGGCTGTGGCTACGAGTGACCTTCTCTCGACAGGTGAACCGCCTCCACACACAACCCATCCAAGTCGGGTTTTCTGCAGCAACGGTAGGCCAGCTGAGAGCTGAACTTGTCCAACACACAGCAATTCATAAAAGAGGCTGGCTCCGATGAGCAAATCGATACGCTGTGGTCGAAAGAATTCTGGATCAGCGAGACTAAGATTGCATGGTATATTCCAATTGGAGACATCTAAGCAGAAACTAGGCTGGAGATCCGTAATGTTGCCAGCGACGACTGCACTAATAAGAGACGAGTATTCTGAACAGTGAGAACGTAGGAGCACATCAACAGAGAATCCGTCCGTCGCATAGCCGGTATCGCCAATTCCAGACACCGACATGAATGATTTGCATTTACGCAACTGCAGCTGATTAGCCAATCGGGACATAATCATATGTACTTGAGATCCAGAATCCAGAAGCGCTCGGCAAGGCGCGGCTCCTAACAAGTATGTTCGCTGTTGCAAGCAAAGCTATATCGCCGCTACGACCTTGGGCAATTAAGGCATTGACTGTGGATGGCGATGAGGCTAGAGGTTCAGAACCCTCGGATGAGGAGGAAATGGGTAAAGCAACTGGCAGATGGCCGCTAGAAGACTGCGAGTCCAGAAAATGCAGCAAACTGTGATGCCGTCTCCCACAGCTGTGGCAATTATTAGCGAAGCAGTCTCGCAGGTGATGGCCGGTTCTGAGACATTTTCGACAAAGACCAAGTCGCCTAGCCTCGCCTAGGCGGCTCTCAGGGGACAACAGCAGAAACCTTGGACACGCAGGCACCTCATGGGACCTCCCACCGCATAATATACTGGTAGCGGGGGGGGCATTAGTAATAATGAAGGCGGATCTACTGTTATTAGCAACTCTACGTCTTCCCACCTGAGTGCCAGGCGCGTATGCGGCCATGGCCACAGCCTCGAGAGTCCTGCATCATTGCTCCAGGAATTCCGCCATCGAGTCCCACGTAGGAATAAGGTCTGAATTGATGGCAGTCTGGCCTTCCTCCCACTTCGCCTGGGTAGCTGGGTCCAATCTTTGAAGAAGCACCTGGACGATGATGCAGCCGGCAATTTGTTGCGTCGTTCCCAAATTCTTCAAGGCCCGCATATGGGCATTGAACTTATCTGAGAATCCTCGTAGACCTGCCACTGAGCCACCTTCCACGACACATAGGCCTAGAATATCGTTCACATGAGCCTGAAATATTAAACGACGGTTACTAAATCGCTTTTCCGAAAGACCCAATGCAACGTCATAATTTTCCTCGGAAGTTACCAAGGACCGAACTGCTTCTAACGCTGAGTCGCGAAGACAGGATCGTAGCCTCTGCAGCTTTTCCACCTTGCTTATATGTGGATTTCCGCCTACCATAGTTGAGAAGATAGATTGGAACTCAGACCACTCGGAGTATCCTCCACTGAAGGTAGGGAGCGGAATAGGCGGCAGAGCTTGAAAGCTGCGACTGAGCCCTGGGTCTGGCATAGAGGAGATCCCGTTGGTGAGAGTTGAGTGACCAGCCATTTGAGCAGAGCGTCGCAAGGTTTCGTCCTCTATTTCAGCGTGCATCGTCGCGACGAGCTCCGACACGGTCCATCGCAAGTCGCTGCCGATCTCCGAAATGTCTAATTCTTCAAGATTCCCGTGGATGGTCTTGAACTCATCGTACACTGAGACTAACTGGCCATGACGCACGTGGAGCATGGCGTCCTCCACGCTTGAAATTGGGTAAAGGGCTCCTTGTATCCTCTTCAAATCCTGGAGGAGAGCATTGGACTTGCATTTCAAAATAGCACTCCGAGGTAGAGTGGGTGAACCTGCGTCTGCCGCACTGGCATCCATCGCCACTAGTCTCAAATTACGACCAATTTAACAAAGCTAAAGTGCAGCGAAATTAGTATTATTATTTTTATTTATTTGTATTTTCGTATTATTTTATTATTTTTTTGTATTATTTATTATTTATTTTATTATTTAATAATAGTTTTAATTTGCTCGCGACGAATACAACCTGTCCCACTGTGCACGGCCGCTAAGCTGAAGCCAAATTTAATATTACAAATTTTTTAATAATATTATATAATAATATTTCGTATTTGACCACGGCGAACGCAATCTGTCCCACTGTGCACACAAGAACCGTACCCGAATTAGCGGCTGTATGTTTGTATAACGGTTTGTGCGCCGGCGAATGCACT